TCCACCCATCCATCCATCCCTCCATCCACCCATCCATCCCTCCATCCACCCATCCCAGCAGGTTTTCAGTCCCTGGTTGCTCAGGGAACAGGAGCAGGGAAGATTTGCTCCTGGTGAGCAGGCTGAAGAGTTCCCAACCTAAACTTGTGCACCAGAGTTTCTCACGGTCACTTCTTCAAGGTGACTTCTCAAGGAACAAACCCCACAAGTGCTTCAGCTTTGACAGGCTGGAAGTGAAGGCTGGGAAGGGGAGTGCTAAAAAACATAAAAGAATGTGAAAAAATTCAAGTTTTCTAGAGGAAAAGGAGAAAAAAACCTGCTATGAAATAAAAATAGTGCCATGGCAGAGCTGTTGGAGGAGACTGAGGGAGGGGTGAATGGAGAGGAGCTGGGAATGTCTGTGCTCCAGCTGTGCCCAGCTGTGCCTCCAGCCATCCCTGCAGATGATGAGAACTTGAACATGGTGGGAAGGAGATGAAAGAGCTCTCACAGCTCCTCCTCTTGTCCAGGCTGATGTCCTGGAGGTTATGAGGGATGGAGTGAGAAAAAAGATGGTGGAGAAATGGGGGAAAAAAACCATGGAGAGCAGGAGAAAAGGTGGATTTGTCCCAAAAGGAAGAACCTCTCCTGAAGGAGTTATGCTGGTCATGGCCCAGCTCCATCTCCCTGGGATGGAAAGACCTCACTGCAGAAAGCCAATGCACAAAAAAAACCCCACCCCACCTCACCCCAACCCCAACAACCCCTCCAGACCAGGCCTGCAGGATTTCTGCTATGGGGAAAAACCCCAGCAAGCCCAAACTCCTATTTTTCCATCAGACCAGCAATAAAATAATCCATCTTTCCTGGCTCCTTTCTGAACGAAATTGCAAAGCAGAGATGTTGGCACGTTGTGTGGAACCTCCAGGAGATGAGACATCAAGTCTAACAGATGTGGGACATAAAAGCTGATGTGTCGAGGCTGCTTGAGAAACTGTGACTTTAATGTAGGCAGAAACATCCAAAAAAAAACAAGTGCCAAGTGAAACAGTGAAGTTGGAACAAAATGGGTTTGTCAGAAGCCAACCTGCTGGCGTGAGAGACAACGGCAAAATGAGCTGCTGCTGGTGTTCCCATCCCAAGTGCTGGTGGAAATTTGGGGGTTTTAGAGAAACCAGAGGTGGCTTTTTACAACGGGGAGCCAAGCTGTTGGGAAACATCAGCCCTCGTTGCTCTGGGCCACGTTTGTGGCAGCAGAAGGGACAATGAAAGCTACGAGGTCATGGTGGCTCAGCCCCAAGGGCAGTTGTAGACCAGCTGACCCCCAAGTGGAGAATTTGTTGTGGGAGAAATCCCCTTCCCTCTCTCAGAGCCCAGTTTTCCATCGGGGACCCCAGTGGGTGTTGAGCTACGGTGCTCTGGACCTTATTTGGTGGCCGTGGCACCATGACTGGTGATCATCCCTCTCCATGACTGGTCATCATGCCTCTCCTTAATCCCCTTGCCTGGTGGCTCGGTCCCATCCATCAGTGCCCACCCTGCTGTGCCAACCTGATTCCTTAGGCAGGGAACTCATCCAGCTGGAAATATAATTTCTAATATTATTTTTTTCCAGCTTATTTCTCAACTAGAGCAGTCCCAAATCTGGGAATCAGTCAGACCCCCCCACATCCTAGGCATGGGTGGGGAGGAACTGTTTAAATTGGGGTAGGAAAGGCAAGGAGCTGGACCCATCTTCATCCCTGGACAGCTGGGTACCACCGAGCAAAGCAGCTCACATCATTTTGCCCTGTTTTCTCCTCTGGTAAATGGGGGAAAACTCTGGATATGGGGAACTCCTCTCTGACGCCACGGATGGAGAAGCTGAACGTCAAGCAGATGAGCACCAAAGAAGAAAAACCAGACTGATGGGCCAGGAAGAGAGATAAGAAAGATGGTGTTTATTTGAATAGCGACAGGAAATCAGAGATTGAAACAAAACCAAACAAAAAAACCCCAAAAAAAGCAGCAGCACATTTGGTTTAAAAATAAATCACAGCGTGCAGATGGTTTAGAACTCATCCAGCCGATCCCACCTGCCAGTGCCCAGTCCTGCCATGGCCTCGGCCATCATTTTTTGGCCTTGTCTCGAGGGTAACCCCCGTTGGTCTTGTTGAGGGACTCCATGCTGCCGTTGCCCGTCACCACGCTGGTGAGTCCTCTCCACCTCCCCGGGCAGGATCTGCTTGTCTTCGTTCTCCGTCTCCCGGTGGTAGAAGTAGTTGAAGTTGGAGACGATGACGGGGACGGGCAGGGCGATGGTCAGCACCCCCGCGATGGCGCACAGCGTCCCCACGATCTTCCCACCCAAGGTGGTGGGACACATGTCTCCGTAGCCCACGGTGGTCATGGTGACCACGGCCCACCAGAAGCCGTCGGGGATGCTGGAGAAGTGGGACTGAGGCTCGTCCACCTCGGCGAAGTAGACGGCGCTGGAGAAGAGGATGACGCCGATGAAGAGGAAGAAGATGAGCAGGCCCAGCTCCCGCATGCTGGCCTTGAGGGTCTGCCCCAGAATCTGCAGCCCCTTGGAGTGCCGGGAGAGCTTGAAGATGCGGAAGACCCTGACCAGCCGGATGATCCTCAGGATGGCCAAGGACATGTTCTGCTGCCCGTTGAGTTCGCTCTGCTGGATCAGCTCGGTGGTGAGCGTCACGAAGTAGGGGATGATGGACACGATGTCGATGATGTTCATGATGTTCCTGAAGAACTCAGTCTTGCTGGGGCACACGATGAAGCGGACGAACAGCTCGAAGGAGAACCAGATGATGCAGGCAGTCTCTATGACGAAGAAAGGGTCCGTGAAGGTACTGTGGGCCAGCAAGGTGTCTGTCAGATTCCTAGAGAGCTCCTGGGGGGACTTAAACTCTCTTTCCTCCCTGAACTCCGGCAAGGTCTCCATGCAGAAGATGATGATGGAGATGACAATGACCAGGACAGAGACCAAAGCTACGCCCCTGGCCGCACTGGAGCTTTCGGGGTACTCGAAGAGTAGCCAGAATTGCCTATGAAAGTCATTGGTTGGTAAGAGGGTCTCGGGGTCCTTGATGAACCCTTCATCCTCCCTGAACTGGTCCATGGCTTCATCACCCAGCTCGTAAAAGGTGATTTCATCAGCGAAGACGTCGATGGGGACGTTGGCCGGGCGCCGTATTTTCCCACCAGACTGGTAATAATACAGGATCCCATCAAAACTGGGCCTGTTCCTGTCAAAGAAATACTCATTCCTCATGGAGTCGAAGTAACGCATCCTCTTCTCCGGGTCCCCCAGCAAGGTCTCAGGGAACTGGTTGAGCGTCTTGAGCCGCGTCTCAAACCTCAGCCCGGCGATGTTGATGATGACTCGTTGGTCCCCCTCATCCATACCCACCCTCTCCCCAACCAGGTGCTCGCTGAACTCGGCGGAGAACCTGGAGAAGATGGTCTCATTGTTGGCGTTCTCGCTGTTGATGAGGATTCTCAGGTTGGAGAGGAGGTTGGCGCAGCTGGGGTGCCCTTTCCGCGACTGGCTGGCGGGACTGAGGTCGTTTGAATAACAGGGATCCTCCACGATCTGATCAGCGTTGTCAAAACTGACTAGTGCCACCTCCATCTCCTTCCAACTGGACACGTCCATCATACACTAATCAGATTAGCAGCATAAATCCCCGGATCGGATGCCGGCAGCTTGCGTCTTTCCCACGCTAGGAGGATCTGCAAGTGAACGGACAAGGAGACAGCTGAATGGTGCATATGTAGCCCTTGGCTCGACTGAAAAGAGTAAAACAAACCCGAGGTCAGAAAATCCTCTATTTTTTTTTCAGTGGAAACGTTCATTTTGTGGACTGGCAAAAGCTTTATCCTTCCAGCCAGCCGTTCGTCTCCGGATCCTACAGATCTTTTGGGCATGACTTTATTTACCACCAATAAACCTCCCAGTACTGTTTACAGCACCCAAGGAGAAAAGGTCAGGCAGTAGCAGAGGATGGGGGTGAACCCAGGTGTCCCCCCCAAGCCTTTCTCCAGCAACCTCAACCCACCAGAGCAAGGAGTGGTTTCAGACTTCTCCAGCTGCAGGTCCAGACTCTGGAGCATCTGGAGGTACTACCCATGGGTTGCAGCAGCCCTCGCTCCAGCTGGGAGAGGTGTTGGGTCAGCCCCCAGGAGGTCCTGGGCATGTTGCAGCTGGGTCAATGGGCGTTTGGAGAGCAATTCCCAAACTAGGGGCCACACTGGGATTTGGGGAGTGCAGTCCATGAGGAAGGCAGGTCAGGAGGACATGTCCTCCAGCCCTGGAGAATCCCTTTGCTCTGGGGGAAGAGGGGAATGAACAGGGACCTCTTGTCTTGATCCAGACTTTGGGGCAGGTGGTGGATGAGGTGATATCCTCCAGAGCTCTCCTAGACCTCCTTCATGGTAGACCTGATATTCCCAGCCCTAGGAAGAAGACGAGGACTAAACACTCAGGTCACTTGGGAAGCACCTTCCCATGAGTGATTTTTTTTCCCCAGACCAACTCTAGCAGACACTCAGCAATGGACAACATGTCCCCAAAACATTCCTGGTCGTATGTCTCCCTGACATGCTGCTGTTGTACTGAACTTGGAGGCAAAGTCAAAGAGGAGCCCAGGGACCAGGCCAAGCTCCAGAGCTGGGAAATTACCTGTCCTGCCTCCGGGAGAAGCGCCAACAGAAATGAGATCTTAACAGGGAAAGGTTCTGGGGAGATTTGTCCCAAAATGCACTTTCCAAGTAAATTCAACCCCATGATTTATTTCCCCTTCAGCTCTTTCCCCAACAAATATATTTTTCCGGGCACGAGAAACCACAGCAGGACCTGCAGAGCTGCTCTGTGCCCTCGCCAAGGGCACCCTGGCTTTCTTACCCAGCCAAGTGCAGGCAGAGGGAGAGAAAAAACCCAAATGCCCTCGACTGCCAAGAATAGCAAATGCAATTGAGGCCACGTCTGCACGGAGCAGCAGCGGCGCTGGGGCCGGTCCTGTGATGAGGATGGTCTCCACTGCAGGCTTTGCTTCATGCAGCCAGTCCTGGGAAGGGACCCATCCTGTCCACAGGGGCTGAGCTGCACCCAGTGCCTCAACCTCCCCATTTAACCAAAGCCATCTGGGGCTCTGAAGCTTTTCCCTTCTCCTTTCCCCAGATCAGACTCGTCCATCCATGCTGGTGAAGGTGGGCAGGACAAGCTAGAAACCCAAATCCGTGGCAGAAGTAGATGTTAACAGCCTGGCTTGCTACAAATCCTCCCTCTTCTGCTCTTGGCATTACAACCCTGAAGGCACAACTTCATACAGGAGCCAGCATCCATATCCTAGACAAGGGCTCAACCTCATGCTTTCCTCAGCAGAGTCATGAGATTCTGGATTTGGGGACGAATCCCATAATTTATCATAAGCTACTTAAAAGATCACATTTCTTTGCTTTAAAAAAAACCATGGAACGTGGTTGTTCTTAGGTACCCATCCCTGTAAAGCGGCTTCTGGCTGGTTTTGTGCCAATTTTCCCACTTGGGGGACATTTAGAGAGGAACATTTGGGGCAACGGGGCAGAAACAATGCCCAGAGGAAGGAGCAGCAGGAGGGTTTTGCCCCTCAAAGCAACTTGCTGCAAAGCTGAGGAGCCCCAATGGCTCCAAACCCAAGTCCTCCAGCCCCAACGATGTCCTCCTCGGGCACAAGCAAGTCTCTGTGGGGCCAGGTTCATCTCAGGCTTGATTTTTTGGTGGCTCTGTTGAAAAGCTGTCATGGGCAGGGAGAGATGTAGCATCCTGCTGGGTGTGGAAAGTGCAACACAACCCCAACGGGGAGGTGGCAACTGAGAGCTGCAGATAACCCAGGTTTCAGTGCCCAGGTAGCATCAGGCAAAGAGATACTGCAATCAACCCAGCCCCAGCAAAAGGGATCTTCTAAGTGGAAAAAACAGCATTAAAGAAGAAAGGAAAAGCAGCACACAGCTTCTGCCCCCTCTGGTGTTGTTTTTTTCTTAATATAAACCCTTCAAGATGGTTTTTAAATCAGAAAAAAAGTCATAAAAATCAGTTGGAATCAGAAGAGCAGGATGGGTCAGCTGACCTGAGCCACCACACATCCCACCACCCCTCCATCCTGGTGGGAGAGCCCCGTGGGGACCACACGCCTGGAGCTTCTCCTGACAGCAGAGCAAAGCTGGAGCAGCTAAAGCTGGTGGTGAAATCATCTCCTAAGTCAGTGCTGTGAGATGAGCGGGGTGTTGGAAGCATTAAATGTGCTTAACTCTTAATACTGCACGCTGGCAGCACGGGCAAGAAACTTCCCCAGCCCTCGCTTGGTAGGATGGTTTCCACCCACAACTTCTGGTCACAGAAGAAATCGTGGTGTCTTGAAACCTGGCTTGGATCCAGAGCCCTCTGAGCTCATCGACCTGAGCCCCTCAGCATCATCCCTCATGGGGAAACTGAGGCATGGAGCTATGAGGGGACAACTCACACGTGCTGCTCGGAGCTGAGAAGGGAAAGTTGTGCTCATCCTCCCCGTTGGGACCTGGAAAGGTCCTTTTAGCTCCATTCTGAGCTGCCCAAAGGATGATGGGCTCTGACTCTCCTTTTCAGGACATCTACCTGTCCCTGTCCCTGGAGGTAGGTGCCCCACAAGTCCCCAAACCCAAAACCACCTCATCGATCTCGTTTTAAATTTAGACCAAAACGAATGGCGCTGCCCAAAGCCACAAAACATCCTCCCAAAGCTTTGCAACCCGTGCTCCAGCTCCAGCAGAGGCTTGAACTAGAAAGTTGACTCATTTTTTCCTCCTAAATCACCTAACATCTGCTTCTCAGAATCTGATTAACTAATATCCTTCAGCCGAAATCCCCGGCTGGGGAAAATAATAATGATAATAATAAAAAAATCAAGCAAAGGAGAGGGACGAGGAAAGAGAAAGGTCATTCTGAGGGAGTTTGCCTTTTGCCCATCGCATCCCAGTGAATCGGGGCTGTGGTTTCCACCAGCCCTTCTGCCACCATGGAAACCACCCCGTGGGCAAGTCCCTTCTGCTCCCCACCCCAGTCCTCCCATCCCCGGGGAGCGCTCCTGGGGTGAACAACGGCCGCTTCCAGGGTTTCTCCAGAAAATCAGAGATGCTGAGCCTCCCTTCCCTCCCCCCTGCC